CTGCCACGTTCTCATGGGGTACTTTAACTATGGCGGCATCGATTAGAGAAATGAATCCACGCTAAATGACCTAAATAATCCAGCCACTCTTTTTTTTGTAAAAACCCTGAGAAACAATTTTCTCTACAAACATTTTAAAGGTGCAACAGGGGGGAGCAACCACCCAAACTGCTGGACTTCTTCATAACTAACAAGGATGGTATGGTTGCCAAGGTGAAATATCTAACCCCTGTTGGCACCAGTCACCACGTAATGTTGTCCTTCAGATTTAACTGTGACTTGGTTCATAACAAAAACAGGTCGAGGTTCAAATATTACAAAGGAAATTACAATGGGATGAAGGAGGAAATAAGGAGTATACACTGGCCTGACTTAATGAGGTATAAGAACGCAGACACTACGCTGATAATCATAGCCCATAAAGTTAACCATTTGGTCAAAAAATATATACTTATGACCAAACCCAGTGCCTCCAGGAATACAAGGAGACCATTACACATGAACCATGCGTGCAGTTGACAAAGTTTAGATGAAAACTCAGGATTTCGAGATGTCGGTTAGGACAAATGATGAGCAGGACAGGAGGATGAATGCCAGATCCAGAAACTATCCAAATTCAGAGTGTAGAAGGGCTGAAAAAGAGTTCCGGAGGTGGGTTGCGAGTGAGGTCAAGTCAAACCCAAAGGCTTTTTACTGCTACGCAAAGTCAAAATTAAAAACGCAAGTAGGCATATTGGACCTGAGCCTGGAAGACAGTAGTTATGCAGATTCTGACCAGGACAAGGCAGAGGCTTTGAACAGATTCTTTTCCTCGGTGTTTGCAAGAAGGGATGTGAACAATCTTCCTGCTTTGAGGAAAGACAGTTTGACACAGTGCTGACCCACGTTCTCAGAAGAGGTATATGAAATAAACTGTCAAAGCTAAGGATTCAAAAGAGTCCTGGAACTGATATGGTACACCCCAGAGTGTTAAGTGAACTATGTACTGAGCTTGTGGGACCCATTAAGATCCTGTTCTGCAAATGCCTGTATGAGCAAAAGGTCCTCGATGACTTGAAAAAAGCTTATGTGCGTCATATTCAAGAAGGGGGATTGTCACTCCGAATAATTATAGACCAGCGAGTCTGACCAATATAGTGTGTGAAGTACTCTTACTTAACAATTACTCAAGGTCTTGGAAGTTTGGACTCAAGTTCTAGAACAAGGCAGAAATATTGACAATACTGTATATAACTAGATTTTGCCAAGGCTTTTGACAGCATATCCCATGAAAGGCAGAGAATAAAATTAGAAGGGTACTGGATTTGGGAAAATGCCCTAGTGTGGAACAGAGACTTTCTGCATGACCACAAGTAATGTGTGGTGATTCGTCATGTGTACCTGTGAAAAGCAGGGTGCTACAGGGCAGTGTATTGGGCCTGTTGTTGTTTGTTTGTTTGTTTCAAAAATGAGATGCCAGAAGCTATACACTTCTCCATACATATGTTTGTGGATGATGCCAAGTTATTTAGGGAAATTAAGAACCAAACAGACTGTGAATAGTTACAGAAAGATCTCTATGAGCTTCAAGAATGTGGAGGTAATGGCTGCTAAGATTCAATGTAACGAAGTGCAAGAGGATGTACCTGGGACGTACCAACTGTAAGGAGGCGTATCATGTGTCCCAACAGGATGATGAAACTGCATTAATTGAGATCGAATGTGAAAAGGACCTGGGTGTGTATGTTGATGAGGTACTTAAGTTCCCGGGCCATTGTGAAAAGGTGAATCAAGTAATGAAACTACTATGTCTTATAAGAAGGTCACTTAGATATCTGGATGGTCAGTTGCTCGTCATGGTCTTCAAGAGTCTGGCATACAGTCACCCCGTCTAGTCCCTGATATACTGTATACTGGAGACTGTCAATTAATTGAAAATGTTCAAAGGAGGGCTACCAGACTGGTGCCTACACTATAGAACCTCAGCTACCCTGAGAGATTAGAATGCCTGCAACTTCCTAGCTTATACTACAGACGGGCAAGGAGCCACCTAATCGAAGTGTATAATCATCTCAGAGGGCACTACTCAGTTGGATGTACATACCTGGAGTTGGCGGATGCCCACCCTACAAGGGGTAACAGCTCAAAGTTGAAGAAGCCACAAATCCAGAAAACAGTGACGGCAAATATTTTCGGAGAGAGAATTGTGTACACTTGGAACAACCTGCCAGAGAGTGTTGTGACCACACTGAGTGTGAGCTCTTTTAAGACCAGACTTGACTAACACTGGAGCAGGCTCCGATATATTCAGGAGCCAGTTCATGCCCAGTACTTGCCAACAGTGCATGACAGAGGAGTAGCTGATCGCCCAAGTGGCTAACGATCCGATCAGTGGTGAAGAGGATAAAAGTAAAAGTAATACATGTTGCCATTGTTACATATAATAAAACTATAAAAGTTATGGAAAAATCATTTCAATGCGATAACGTGACTTAGAAATAAAGAAAATATAATATAAAACTATAAAATAAGAAATATGAAGAGAATGGGTGTGTTTTCTGTGTCTCTGAGATATAGTGGAACTCTCCTACCACCAAAGAGATCCCTCTCTGCCAGTAGTGGAAATCGTCAGATGCACGTACACAACCTCCTTTGCTCCCCATGCCAGGGGCGGATCCAGGAATATCAAAAGGGATGGGTCCAAGAAGTTGTGGGTGGGAGAATATGACGAGCAAAGTGAGCCCATCTTTCTGGGGGGTGAGGGGGGGTGCAGGGTGCTGGGTGCTGTAAGACCCCTCAGAATTTTTTTTTTAAATTTGACCAATATCATGGGCATTTTGAGTCCATTTTCAAGCCATGTGCAGTTGGTACTAGGAGATATTCTTAGGTCAATAGTAATTTCTCTTTACAATACAAAAATGCCTGAGTACATCACTGCATTAAAGAAAAAGTATCGGAATTTTTGGATGAAAAGGCGGGGGGGGGCTCCGGACCCCCCCTGAATCCGCCCTTGCATGCAACCCGTAGTGCAATCCGCAGAGGGGTGAGGGCCCTGTTGTTTAAACCCATGTAGTTTAAGAGTTTACTGTATGTCTTTAAATATACTGTATATAGCCTAGGATCAACAAATTAATTTCATTCTTTTACTCTTATCAATAGAAAGTTGTCTCTCAGAGTATCTACAAAAAAGAGTACAGTAATACCTTGGTTTACGCGGTACCCCGCCAGAACCGGAATGCCCAATTTATGCGGTGCATCTACTCATATATGCGGGAAGCAGCGCGGGCAAGGTGCTCACAAGGTCGCCCAGTCATCAAAACATTACCGAGTTCTTCACCCGCCACCCACCACAGCTGGCCCAAGTCAGTGATAGTGAGGATATGGACTTATATGGACTTTGAGGGGTTTGACAAAGAGGCCCTGCAAGCCTCTGTGGTGGATAGTGATACAATTGATACAGGTGAGGGTCAATAATCTGCCCTCTGCCTCGGAACCAACCCCCCATCCCCGTGTGCCCAACCATCTTTCTACTAATGTACGTGTTAAAAAACCTAATATTATAGATATTTCTCTTAATTATTAATTGTGTGTGCGTACCATCATAAAATTAAGATGTTAATTTTACTACAACGTAGGTATTGTGTCTGAAAAAGTGGAGTTTGGGAGTCGGCCTGGTCTCTATTTCAATTAATCCCATATGTTCTGTTATTCCATTTACGCGTTTCTTGTTTTACGCGCTACTCTGCGGGTTTAATTGACCGCGTAAATCAGGGTATTACTGTAGTGGGACTATTAAAGTTATTTAGTGTGGTTTCATTTTTCCACTCGATGTCTCCATAGTTAAAGTCTCCCATGACAAGGATGTGGCTAGTAGTTGAGCGCAGTTGCATTCTCAATTAAGGCTCTTAAATCCTTTTGGTTTAATAAGCTACAGTTTGGGGATCTGTAGATACATCTGACAATGAGTCTCTCTCCCCTTTATTTTAATTTTATACCACTTTGATTCTAATTGTAATGTTACCATTATAATATTATTATTTGAAATTTAGTCAATTTAACCAAGGATAGCCGACAAAGCCATGAAATGCTTATTTTCAGTTGGGCCCTTATGCCAATAGTATCTGGTGTTTCTAGGCAGTCACCCATCAAACTACAGCACAGTACCATCTACGGTAGACCCAATGTAGCAAAACTTCGCTAATTGGACGAGAAGTAACTTTGGCAATTTGGTATGGCCATTTATTACTACTGTATTTGATGACTATAATATAATGGAACAATCTATACAAAAAATATCCTTGCTTAAAAATAGTGTCAGAATTCTGAAATTAATACAGAGTACCGTACTGTACAAATATTTATGCACAGCTGATTGACAGCTGAATGTGCTTACGGTAGTTCACTTGAGGACTGCTTGTAGTGATCTTTCACAACCTGAGTCAGTTTATCTCTTTGCAGATGATTAAGTCTTCTCCTTAGTGGGGTTAATTACTGGTCAAATCACTTGTTTAGTTTTGCATGTATTGAATAGCAATAAAAGTCTTACACCTGCATATCTGAATTCTTATGCTGACTTTTACTAGGGTGTTATAAAGTACAGTACTGTATGTGCAGACTTAGAAGTCTACTGTAGTATACAGTATATATGAAAAACAACATTAAGATTAGGATCTGCATACCAAAGGTGGTGTTGGTAGATTTACAGTTATCATAAATCATGCAAAAATTTTATTGAAAAAAATATTTATTTTAGTTATAAATTCATAATAAAAAATAAATACAAAATTTAAACCTAAAACAAACACTTAATTTGATGATTGGGTGTTTTAAAAAAATGTTATTGGTTCTTTTACTGCATTGTGAATTGTAAAAGTTAGATAACATCAACTTTGACCAACATTGTTATGATTACTAGCACACAAAATCTCTAGTACAGATACAGCACTAGACCCAACAACTAACTCCTTACCTTGCCCTCCTCCCTTCCCTCCCTCCTTCCTTCCTTCCTTCTTCATCATTAGGAGTGTGGTGACAGCATTGGTGAGGAATGATATTAATGCAGTGGTGGACATTGAGAAGATCTTGAACCACTTCAATGGCACCAAATCACTGAAGCAGAATGCCCCACAGGTAGGGTGAATTTTATCTTGAGTAAAAGTTATTCCTGTAGGCCTGACAGTCTGTACTTTTACTTTTATCCTCTTCACCACCGATCAGCTCGTTACCCGCTTGGGCAATAAGGGGCAGTGTGGATACAGCACATTGTAGATTAAGTCTTTTATTTTTGTATACAAGAAGTGTATTGTATTCAATCTTTCTCACTTTCTCCACCCATAATGTGGGGAACCAATTGACAGCTGGATGCAGTGGGTGCTTTGGGCATGGACCAGTGACCCTTAGGGCAAGAGGCAAAAGTTCTATCCATTGAGCCAGTACACCCTGTACAGTATTTATCATTGTACTGTATAATGTAAATGATGATTCCTGTATCGATGAGAAAAGGTCCATACAGTATATAATACATTACCTAAATATTCTGGAATGTTAGTTTAATCCAAAATAAATATTCTCAACTTTATTTGAAAAATTGATTGAGGATTAATTTTTGTATACTAATTATCTCGGCATGAGTTGAATTCTCCTAATATTCTTGAGCCTTTAGAAAGGGAAAGTTTGAGTGCTTGTAAAAGTTCCTTCATTATCTTTGAATGTACAGTGATCCCTCGGTTAACGAATGCCTCGGTTAACGAAATTTGGTTAACGAACTGCCTTCCATAAGAATCTTCAATATGGTTAACGAACAAAAATTCGGTTAACGAATTTCTTACGAACCGACCTTAACATGTTTTCGCTTGCACTGGCCGGGCAACCAGCTTTAGTATCAGTCCGCCAATACATTAATCGGTTCTAGGGCTTAAATTCCTTACTATTTTAGTAAATATCAAGAAGTTTATGCTATTCAATAATTTTAAAAGTTTAAAATTCAATTTTTTTGTAATTTTAACAATTATTGAACATAATTGAAGGTAAAGTGACTAGTTTAATGCGCGGCATCCAGCCTCTTAACACAGCAAACAGGAGTTAGTCTCTCTCTGTTTTCACTGGAGGTAACATCTTGCTTGAGACTCTCTTCAACTAAATGCTTTTTTTCTGTGTTTCCAGGCAAATTATTGGTCAATTTGAAATTTATTTTACATATTGACAATACAGTGACCCCTCCGTTAACGAACTCAATCTGTTCCAGAAGGTCGTTCGTTAACCGAAAAGTTCGTTAACCGAAACCATTGTTTCAATGGGTTTTTGGGTAATTGGTTCCAGCTCACCGAAAATTTCCTAAATTCAACAAAAATGGTAGAAAAGTTCACTTACTTTGAGGTGTGTATGTAGAAGGCTCCTGGATGATGATGATGATGATGGGATTTAGAATGGGGATGGAGGAGAAGGAAGAAGAGAAGGCATTGGGGTGGAAGAGAAGTCACCCCATGGCGCCATTTCACCCATAAAATTTTAGCTCTCTGGTGTAATTCAAGATTATTTTCTTTAAATCAACACTGCACTGCATTATATATTGTCAATATGTAAAATATATTTCAAAATGACCAATAATTTGCTTAGAAACACAGAAAAAAAGCATTTAGTTGAAGAGAGTCTCAAGCAAGATGTTACCTCCAGTGAAAACAGAGAGAGACTAACTCCTGTTTGCTGTGTTAAGAGGCTGGATGCCGCGCATTAAACTAGTCACTTTACCTTCAATTATGTTCAATAATTGTTAAAATGACTAAAAAAATTGAATATTAAACTAGTTAAAATTATTGAATAGTATAAACTTCTTGATATTTACTAAAATAGCAAGGAATTTAAGCCCTAGAACCGATTAATGTATTGGCGGACTGATACTAAAGCTGGTTGCCCGGTCAGTGCAAGCGAAAACATGTTGAGGTCGGTTCGTAAGAACTTCGTTAACCGAATTTTTTTTCGTTAACCGAATTGAAGATCCTTATGGAAGGCAGTTCGTTAATCGAAATTACGTTAACCGAGGTGTTCGTTAAACGAGGGGTCACTGTATATAGTGCAGTGTTATTTTAAAGAAAATTTCTTTATTTACAACAAGTTTAACTTTGAAAAACACCTGTTGACATTGTTTGAATCCAGCATGGGGCCTAAGAGATCAAGAAAAGCTATTTCAATCCAAACCAAGCAGGAAATCATGAAAAAACATGAACAAGGCATTAAATCAAATGTGCTTAGCAAAGAATATGGCATGTCGGCATCAACTGTGTCGACAATTCTTGCACAGAAAGACAAATTTGAAGAAGTGAAAGTGAGACAAATCTACAAGAGTGTTAAAAGTAGATCCCTAATCGCAGAAACTGAGAGGTTACTTATCATCTGGATTAGGGAAAAACAGATGAAAGGTGATTCAGTTTCTAGTGAATTCATTTGTGAAAGAGCCAGGGAGATTTATGAACATTTAAAGGCAGATCAACCTGGTTCTTCAGGCACAGAATTTGAAGATTTTTGGGCCAGCAAAGGCTGGTTCGAAAAATTTAAGAAAAGAAGTGGCATTTTAAGTGTTGTTAGGCATGGTGAAGCTGCTAGTGCTGATAAAGAAGGGGCAGCAAAGCTTTTAGTTGAATTTAAAAAACTGATGGAAGAAGAAAATTATCTTCCACAGCAAGTGTTCAATGTGGACGAAACTGGGCTGTTCTGGAAAAAGATGCCCAAAAGAACATTTATCACCAAAGATGAAGCCTCTTTACCTGGGCATAAACCCATGAAAGACCGTCTCACTCTATTGCTTGGTGCCAATGCTTCAGGGGATTTCCGACTGAAGCCTATGCTTGTCTACCACTGAAAACCCCAGGGTGTTCAAGCAACAGAAAGTGGTAAGAACAAAACTTGGAGTTTATAGGAAGTCCAACCGTAAGGCATGGGTGACAAGACAGCTCTTTAATGAATGGTCTGTTGATGTGTTTTGCCCTTCTGCCAAGAGCTACCTAACCACCAATAAACTCCCTTTAAAGGTTCTTCTCCTCATGGATAATGCTCCTTGTCATGACCCTGACCTTGCCAGCAATTTGGAGTATCAATTTGACTTTGTGAAAGTGTTGTTTTTGCCTCCAAACACTACATCAATCATACAGCCAATGGACCAGAATGTGATCAGCAACTTCAAGAAGTTGTACATGAAGAAAATGTTTAGGAGGTGTCATCAGGCAACTTCCAATGATCCTGAACTAACACTGAAACAGTTCTGGAAGACACAATTCAACATCCTGGAGGCTGTAAAATTGATTGTGTCATCATGGCAAGAAGTCTCCACTAGATCCCTCAATTCTTCATGGAAAGCACTGTGGCCATCAGTAGTCCATGATTTTGAGGGATTTGAGGAAGAAACAGAGTTGGACAAGGAGATTGTGTCCATTGGTCAGTCATTGGGCCTTGAAGTGGAGGAGGAGGATGTGGAAGAGCTTGTGATGTCTCATGAGGAGGAACTTACTCCTGATGACTTGAAGCAACTGGATGAGATGTTGCAGGTAGAGGCTGACTGTGGTGAGGAGGAAATTGAAAGTGATGACCATATGTCAGCTAAACAGTTGAAAGATGTGATTTACTACTGGGAGAAGTTCAGGGAACTGGCTTCAAAGCACCCAGAAGTGGAAAAAACTGAACTAACGTTGTGTCATGTTGAGGACTCGGTGGTCTCCTTCTTTAAACATAAGTTAATGGTGAGGAGAACAGATGCCCCACAGACCACAATTGACACTTTCTTCAGTAAAAGGCAGAGGGAACAAGATGCTATCCCTCAGCCTTCCACTTAAAGAAGGAGAGAGGATGTTCATGGTGGAGAATCTGTCAGTCCAGAGGTTCCTGACATTTTCATGGAAGGTGACTCACCTTCCAAGAAGCAGTAAAATGCTTTTCCTCCACCTCCACTTCCTTCTCTTCTCCCTTCTTCTCCACCTCCCACTGCAAATGCACATCATCATCATCATCCAGGAGCCTTCTACATACACACCTCAAAGTATGTGAACTTTTCTACCATTTTTGTTGAATTTAGGAAATTTTCGGTGAGCTGGAACCAATTACCCAAAAACCCATTGAAACAATGGTTTCGGTTAACGAACTTTTCGGTTAACGAACAACCTGCTGGAACGGATTGAGTTCATTAACCGAGGGACCACTGTGTTGATAAAAGCTAAAGAATCACACATGGAAAGTATTGTTAAAAAAATCCTTTATTTGATCCTGGGAATAACAATCTTTTTTATGACCGAAGCTGGATGAAACGATTGCCTGTGTTTGTCCTTAAGACAAGCAGTGTTTTATAGGTAGGCAGGTGATGTTTGATTAACTCAGCAGAGTTGTGACCCTGCCATTCCAGCTAAGAAGAGCTTGGAAATCTAAGATATTTTTTCCAATTTCCACTCTGTAAAAGTGAGTTGGCAATAGGAAAGGCATCCAGTCATACAACTTGTTTCAGATATGCTTGATGGCAACCAGGACACCATGTCAGTGGGAAATCTCTGTAAATGTGAAAAATAGCTGCAAAATGGTGATGATGGTGATAATATCAGGAGCAGATGACTGATGTATCCATTTCCAGGCAGGTTTATAGTTTATATGCTGTGTCAGCTCAGGAAGAAATATTTTGGTGTTGCAGGATTTTACATAAGTGACAGGAATTGGGTGCTGCATCACCCTACAACATAATCACATAAATGGGAATGTCAAATAAGTTTGTCAATAAAGTTCTTCACGTCTAATCGACGGAGAGCAGAAGTGATGCTATCACGGGCGAAGCTAATTTATGACCGAGCGTTTGACGCGTGACCCTTTGTTTACCAGCGTGGGTGGATCATGAGGGTCTGTATGCCTTGCTCCCTTGAAATTTTGGGTTATGGCAGACATGTCATCTTTCGTCAATTTATGACCGACTTTTTTATTTATTTTATTTTATTTTATTTTTATTTTATTTATTTTATGGAAAATAATTTTGTCTAGCTTAAGCAGGATCTACCTTAGCGAGGTTTTACATATACAGTACATATCTTTTTGATATTGTGTGTTATATGATGTACATTTCAATCACAGTTTCTTGTAAGTTTTTCAGTGTAATTTTTATTTTAAGACCGTGGACTTGGCAGAACTGAAAAACCAGAGGACAGCATACCTGGCATGGGTGGTGGTGTTGTGTTTGCTGTTGGCCTTCATCATACTCATCATCATCCTCTGTTGCTTCTGGCCCATCTGTCCACTGTACAGGGAAAGGTACGTCCTCCTTCTACTCCTCTTTACACACATGTTCAGTACAGTATTACCCCGCTTTACGCGGTTTCACTTAACGCGATTTCTCAGATTTCTCATATACGCGGTGCCTCGCCAGAACCAAACTTTCACTTAACGCGGTTCATCTTCTCATATACGCGGTGAAGTATAATTTTTTTTTTTTTATTTAACTCATAAAATTCATACAAATTACCCGCCCAGAATATAATTTACATTGCTGGAATTCTTACAATTTGATGATCATTTTGAATATAAACATCATAGATTTTGCATCAGACATACAAATTTTAGATATAATGTTTACTCTGAGTAAATATGTTATCTTTTGTGCAAAATATATGACATTTATATTCAAAATATTCCTGGTCTTACAAGGAATCCAGCAATGTCAATTATATTATCTTAACTTTAGTTTGAGGTATTATTTATTACTAAAAAGGTAAATATTCTGGTTTTCCCACACATCTGGTAGGGAGGGTTGGTGGGGGGTGGGGGGGAGGGAGGGACCGACCGACCGACCATCTGGCACGGTGTGAAGAATATTTTTTTTTTTTATTAACTGAAGATATTTGTTTTAGCTCATAAAATTCATACAAATTACCCGACCAGAATATAATTTACATTGCTGGAATTCTTACAATTTGATGATCATTTTGAATATAAACATCATAGATTTTGCATTAGACATACAAATTTTAGATATAATGTTTACTCTGAGTAAATATGTTATCTTTTGTGCAAAATATATGACATTTGTATTCAAAATATTCCTGGTCTTACAAGGAATCCAGCAATGTCAATTATATTATCCTAACTTTAGTTTGAGGTATTATTTATTAAAATCTAGTGGTTTTCCCCAAAAAATTTCTCAGAGAGGGAAGAGCCAGCGAGTGTAGTGTGAGAAGAGGGGGAGGGAGTTGAGTCCATTATTTGAATGGACATTAACTTGGCGACTGTATTTCTCTATTTCTCTTAAGTATTAATTGTGTGCATGTACCATCATAAAATTAAGATGTTATTTTCACTAGAACATAGGTATTGTGTCGGAAAAAGTAGAGTTTGGGGGTCGGGCCAGTTTTTATTGGAATTAATCCCATATGTTCTGTTGTTCCATTTACGCGGATTTCACTTAACGCGGTACCCTGTGGGTTCAATTGACCGCGTAAATCGGGGTACTACTGTACTTTACTGCATTTGCACTTCACTGCACACCACACCACATTAGGGATGTCCATACTGTAGTGTACTGTACTGTACAGCTTGTATTTGTAGAGTATTGGTGATTTCTCATAGTAATATAAATAATATAATAATTATAGACAGTAATGCATATGGGTGGCATAACTGGCCGTGTTGCACCAAACAAGGTAGAGGCTTTTGTAAAAATGCATGCTTGTGCTGTATACTGTACAATTATCCCTCTTTTTATGAATTCTCTTTTTGTATAATTTTGCCACATCATATTAAATTAAGTAAAGACAAAATATTTAATATGTGAAAGCCATTTTTCAGTAACAATTATTTTCAAGGGATCTATATCATACTACAGTACATGGATTTCACACTTTGGTGTGACTTTGTTCATGCTCTGTTTATACTCGTCACAAGTGACAAAGTGTTGTTCTAATCACCTATCCCATAATTAAGATTGATGTGCTAAGGTGATTAGAGGCAGTAGAGTAGAACAATTTAAGAAAGACAGAAAGCTGGAGTTTACTAAGTAATGAGCCAAGGGTCCTCAAGCCTCCGCCTAGACACACGTGAGAAGGGTGTTATCCAGTGTGACCCTACCAAACACCACAGGTTTCCCTGTCCCCGGTTTCCACCTGTACTAACACTGGATAAACCGCCGAAACAGCTAGTAAGCTGATAATTGGCGAATGTGATAAAAAAGAAAAGAAAAAAGAGTGAGAGGATCCAACATCCCAATGATAAATTCCTTATACTGTACTGTATATAGTATATGGGAATAATTATTGTTTCTTTCCCCCCCTCCGTCGCAAAAAAAGGTGTCTCACATTTTTTTATTAGAAATTGAAAATCAGGGTACATTATTCTAATTAGGATCACATGAAGATTAGACACCCCAGCTTATTTCACCTGATGATTAAGCATCTTAATGCTACCAGCCGGGGGGGAGGGGGGGGCAGTTGGGCTTTACGGTAATATATTTAACATTAGGATTTGTCGGAGATGATGGGATTGTTTGGCATGGGGAAGTGCCTTTCACAGCATACATCATCAAGAAATCATTCGTGTGCCAAAAGGCTTCTTCCATACTTGAGTCGTACAGTAAAGTGTCGTCCACGCACTTATACTTTCTGGGGATGTCTTGGATGGAGTCATCAAACCGTCTCATGTGTGCATCAGAGGCAGAGCAGTGGCCAATGGGGGTCTGACGGTACTGGAACTGCCCCCACGGCATGATGAAGGTGGTGAGACGGCGGCTCTCCCTATCCAGCTTCACTTGGTGGAACCCCCAGTGAGCGTCAGTCATGATCTTGCAAGAATGTAGGGGGCTCCCAGACACCATGTGGAAGGGGGATTGGGTGTGGTGGGTCTCCTTGAGACAGCATGAATTGAGTCGCTGGTAGTCCACTGTGCGTCTCAGCTGATGAGACTTTTTGGCCACCACCTCCATCCCGACGCACCACTCTGTCGCTTCTTCTGCAGGGACAGGCTGGGGGATACCCTTCTTGATGTCCTCGTCTATCTGTGCCTTGATTTCGTTTTCCCGGTGCTTCGACGAAAAGTGTTGTAGTGCCACTCTTCTATTCTCTGGACATTCTCCTACAGTGGTGCAAATGGCATGGCGGACGGCCTGGTTGGTTGGGTGGTTTGTACAGGGGTGTTGTCCTGCGAGCTGTCTCCTTCACCTGTACGTGTGCTACTGAGGGGCCGTGGTGGGGGAAGGTGGTGGGCACCAGACCCAAGCCTTTGCAGGCGTCCAGAGAGAGGTAAAAGTTCTTGGCTGACTGGACGAAGTAGAGGTATTGCAGGGTGAACCTTCCACCAAGACTGACCCTGCAGAGGCCAGATCCCAGACACTTGAGCAGGAGGTCAGCCACATCAAGTAGGCCAGCCCGACGCTGCAGTGGTGCAGGCCTGATGTGGAGAAACACGAGTAAGGACAGACCAGCAATACAAACCTGGGCCCCTGTGTTGGCCGTAGCGCAGGCTGGCATCGCCTCATTTCCTCCTTCATGCCTGATAGCCACCTTGACCATTGGTTGATTAGGCAAGTGGGAGTCAGCAATGACCACCACACCGGAGATATGAGAGGAGGGTGTGGCTGAAGCCGCTTGGCCACCTGCACTCGCCTTCCTGCTCCTGTAACACTTTTTTAGGTGTCCAGTCTTCTGGCAGAAGTGGCAATTAACAGATCTGGCCGGACATGATGCCGTGTGAGGTATATGGAGGCTCCCACAATTTCCGCAGGGGTGTGTGGCTGTGGGTTTAGCGGGGACGCTCTGGCGGGTGGTGGCAATGTCGGGTTACGCCATCCATGGGAGCCATGCCAGTTGTACGAGGGTACTCTACCAAAATCTCACACCCATCGCATCCTGCCGCACGGCCTTAAATCTGCAACATATGACCCAAAGGGTATGAACACTCGAGAATGAGTCACATGCTTGAAATACCTTCCTCTTCAGTACTTGATCACTGAGGCCTACCATGAGCTTATGTAGTACCATATACTTTGACAGATTGTGGGCACAATTAGGGCACTTGAAATCACAATCTGTAGCTTTTTGAGAACATCGAATGAAATAATCAGTGATGAGCTCATCTTGGCCCTGTACTACACTGAAAAACTCGGACCAGTGCACTGTCTGGTTTGATGAATGGAGCACTAATTTTCCTATGGCATCCAGGGCTGCTTAAGGTGTAAAGGCATACCACTGGTTATCAGAAAATCTTGTGTCCAAAGTACACTGAAGAGCAGGAACACAGTTGAGCCCGATGTGGTGGGCAGCCTCCAGGGGGGGGGGGGGTCTACACCATTGAGCACCTCCAGGACCTGAAGGCAGCAGATGACATCTCCATGTCACATTTCTCTGGGACCGTGGATGCAGGGGCCCTTGGTGGTGGTGCTCAATGTCCTTGGGCATTAACAGTAGTGAGGTTGGCTTGGAGGGACTGGATCGCCTACTATTTGGCTGCCATAACCTGAGTCTGGCCCATGGACATTGCAAGGCTGCAAAGTATCACAGCAGCAGGGGTCCTGTGGGTCTTGAGTGTGGCATGGGAGAGCCTGCTCTGAAATGTCATCGTGGAAGGGCATAAGCTCCATGAAGAACTCTCACTGCGTTGGGTATTTTGGTGGGACACAGAAACACTAGCAGCAGTCTCCTTCTTTATTGCGGGATAACCAGGCAGCAACTGTCTCCCGAGGCTGGTGATGCCTGGTATTCACTGCCGCCAGTGACCCGGGGAAAACCTCTCATACTGTTACATCCAACACTCAGTTATATGGTAGGTTGGCTGCTATGAAAACTGTTGAACCCCAAAGTAATGTACAGTACAGGACAAAACTTGAAAAGCAAATCTAATTTAAGAAATCCCATTAGACTAGAATGAATTATGTTCCACTTTTGACTGCTACACTTCAGAGGTATCTGTTTTCCGTTTAGATATTGTTGCAGAAGCAAATAACATAAATACATAATGTAAAAAAAGAGTAACACAAGAACATGGATGTGGGTCTGACCATGCAAGTTTGGCTTCAGTCCACCACTTAACTGTGCCACATACCATAGTATAAAAGCGAAAGTGTACAATTTTCTTGCATTCCCAATTTCATCTTAGCTCGATTTTATACTCTGAACCTGAATTATTCATGGTAAATTTTAAGTATTTCAGCTTAATTGTGGATTAAATGGGCTTTTTTAGGCTGGCTAAAAATGAATTGTAATTTATAACTTTGTATCTCTGAGAAATTGAGTTCAGAATTCAGAATGAACAACTTATGAATTAAATTTTAGAACACTGTTCAAAACCCAGGACATCCTGTTTTCATTTCATTGGGCAGTATGTTCAATGCTATTCTGTATTGATTTATTGAAATATTTTGTCCTTTGTATTTAGTTGGGTTAAATTTGGTTGTGTATTGTGTGTGAAAATTAGTCCCCGGGAATGCATACTGTATATCATTTAAAACTCTTCTCTACAAATTTTGGTTTACATATGACATCCGTGTTATTGCTCTTTACATTTTACCACTATGTCACCAATATGCATTGTTCAATGATGCGTTTCGCCCAGATTATGGTTTTGCATAAATACAGTCAACCCTCACTTTACGCGGTTAATGTAACCCACAGGGTACCGCGGAAAGTGAGAAACGCGTAAAGTGAATAACATAACATATGGGATTAAATGAAATAGAGACCAGCTGACCCCCAAACTCCACTTTTTCCAACACAATACCTATGTTCTAGTAAAAATAACATCTTAATTTTATGATGGTACATGCACACAATTAATACTTAAGAGAAATAGAGAAATACAGTCGCCAAGTTAATGTCCATTCAAATAATGGACTCCACTCCCTCCCCCTCTTCTCACAGTACACTCACTGGCTCTTCCCTCTGAGAAATTTTGGGGGAAAACCAGGTATAGTAATAAATAATACCTCAAACTAAAGTTAGGATAATATAATTGACATTGCTGGATTCCTTGTAAGACCAGGAATATTTTGAATATAAATGTCATATATTTTTCACAAAAGATAACATATTTACTCAGAGTAAACATTACATCTAAAATTTGTATGTCTAATGCAAAATCTATGATGTTTATATTCAAAATGATCATCAAATTGTAAGAATTCCAGCAATGTAAATTATATTCTGGCCGGGTAATTTGTATGAATTTTATGAGCTAAAACAAATATCTTCAGTTAATAAAAAAAAAAATTCTTCACGACACTATCTGTCAATCAAAGTACCCCACCTTGCCTCCCCCCTCTTCCAACGAGCCAGATGGTCAGTCCGTCCCAACCCTCCCCCCCACCTCCCACCAACCCTCCCTTCAAGAGAAAGAGTGGGTGAAAAAACTAGATTTTAACATTTAGTATTAAATAATACCTCAGATTAAAGTTAGGATAATATAATTGACATTGCTGGATTCCTTGTAAGACCAGGAATATTTTGAATACAAATGTCATATATTTTGCACAAAAAATAACATGTTTACTCAGAGTAACCATTATATCTAAAATTTGTATGTCTAATGCAAAATCTATGTTGTTTATATTCAAAATGATCATCATATTGTAAGAATTCCAGCAATGTAAATTATATTCTGGCCGGATAATTTGTATGAATTTTATGAGCTAAAACAGGCAGGCAGGCAGGCAGGGTGGGGCGAATCTGAAAATAGCTCTCGAGCCGGACACTCTGCGCGTATACGTGGAAAAAACCCGCGTTAAGTGAAAGTTCAGCTCTGGCGAGGCACCACGTATACGTGAAATCGCGCTAAGCGAAACCGCGTGGCGTCGCCACGTGGAGTCAGTCCATTGTTTACATCCAGTGTGTGCGCATATTTCTCGCCCGAGCAGTTGGATTTAACTTTTACAAACATACAGTAAGTACAGTGAGTGCATTACTCTTATTCAAGATGACTGGAAAGAGGCCATCAAGTGGAAGTTACTGCAGTGTAGTGCAAAAAAAAGCCGCAAAGGCATTACATTGGATATTAAACTTGACGTTTTAAGAAGGTTTGATGCTGGAGAAAAACTTAGCCATATTGCAAAAACATTAGGTCTTGCTACTTCAACAGTGGGAACAATCCGTGATAATAAGGACAAAATTAGGTCAAGTGCTCAAGCTGCTACTCCATTAACTGCTCGAACCTTGTATTTTCATAGAAGTGATGTGATGCTAAATATGGAACTACTCCTGAGTGTCTGGATTGAAGATCAGACTAAATGCAATGTGCCACTAAACACAATGGTTATTCAACAGAAAGCCATAAGTTTGTATAATGATTTGCAGGAAGAGGAAGGTGCATCTTCTGAGGTTAAACCTTTTCTGGCTAGTAAAGGCTGGTTTGAAAGATTTAAGAAGAGCCTTAATTTACACAACATAAAAATGAGCCGTGAAGCTGCCAGTGCTGATACAGATTCTGCTAATAAATATCCTGCTGAGCTGAAGAAAATTATTGATGAAGGAGGTTACACACCAGAACAAGTGTACAATGTTGATGAAACTGGGCTTTTCTGGAAGCGCATGCCTGCTCGAACTTTTATTTCCACTGAAGAAAAATCAGCACCAGGCTTTAAAGCATCCAAAGATCGTTTAACACTTCTGGGAGGAAATGCTTCAGGTGACATGAAATTAAAGCCCCTACTTGTGTATCACTTAGAAAATCCAAGGGCTCTCAAGGGCTATGCCAAGTCTAATCTACCTGTGATTTGGCGTTCCAATAAGAAGGCTTGGATGACTGTGACCCTTTTCCAAGACTGGTTCACTAACTATTTTTGCCCTGCTGTAGAAAGATATAATGCCAAGCGTAACATATCTAATAAAGCATTGCTCCTCTTAGACAATGCACCAAGCCACCCAGTAAATTTAAATGATCTTTCTGATAATGTGAGAGTGAAGTACATCCCCCAAGAACACGATTTCCTTGCTCCAGCCAATGGATCAAGGTGTGATAGCTAACTTTAAAGGCATATTATCTTAGGAAAACTTTTTTGCAGCTCATAAAAGCAATTGATGGGGAGGATAAACCTACAATTAGGGACTTCTGGAAAAAGTTCAACATCTTGGATGCTGTGGATAATATAGCCGAGTCATGGGATGAAGTGAAAACCTCAGCTATGAATGGTTCATGGAAAAACATATGGCCAGAGTGTGTCCATGAATTTCACAGTTTTTCACAAGCTGAAAGTCTACAGCAAGTTCAACAAGACACTGTGACACTTGCAAATAATGTAGGCTTTGAAGAAGTCATAGAAAATGATGTGGCTGAGTTACTTGAGTCCCATAGAGAAGATTTGACTAATGAAGATCTGATGATGCTGGAACAAGAGCAAGCTGCAGGACAAGAAGAGGATATAGAATCTCCACCCACCCCACTTCAGTTGACAACAAAGGATATGTCTAAAGGGTTTGCACTAATACAGGAAGGTCTGCAAATCTTTGCTGATAACGACCCCAACCGTGAAAGGAACATCAAGATTGCAAGAGCAGTTAACAATGCTCTCAGTTCCTACACTGAGCTGTACAATGAGAAAGTGCGCTGTAAACGTCAAACAACTTTGGATGAGTTATTCATCCTTAGAGAAAAGCTGAAAGCAGATGATGATTTACAGGGCAGAGCTGAAGAGAGTATTGCCTCTCCCTCTCCCTCCAAATAACTTCCTTTGCACCACCAATCCTCACGCAGCAGTCAACATCTTTTGTGGTAAGTACAGTACAATATTTTTATTTATTCCAGCTGTATTTCTCTTCATATTACATGTATATCATGAATTATTTAATGTACTGTATTGTATGTGTTTATAAATGTTTATTTTAATTCATAAAAGTGCTTGAATTACGTTTATGGGGCCTAAAAAAATTCCATAGGAACGCATCTCCAGTTTTATAATGGAAGTCAATGGGAAAATAGGTTTCGCGTTACAGAATTTTGCGATACTGTCAATTTTCCAGGGACGGAACCCTTCCGTAACGCAGGGGATGCCTGTACCTGTAGTACTTTAAAATTATCATCGTATAATTTTTCTTGATACTTCTTGTAAGTGGAATCCTATTTAAAATACTTAACAAAGGAGGGTTATGTCTAACACTTGAGTGGAATTCCAGAAGTTAGTTATCATGCATATTTCAGTTGAATATCATTGTATAGTAATGGATAGATATTTTTATTACTAGTTTCAAATCTCGTATTATTCATAGTGTTATATCATTAAAAATTTTATCTTTGCAGGAAAAAGCATAAATTAGTTGCAGATGAGAATGCCGAGGCTGAGCGTGTGTCTTACATCCGTGTGGATGAACGTGGGAACTACCGTGGTGGATATGAAGAAGAGCGTACCTGGTGGGACCGCCTGCCAACCTGCTGTACTGAAGCTGCTACCTACTTTGGGGTCAGTCGCCCAAAACGTGGTGGTGGGCGTCTTGCTTGGAGTGGTGATGAGCGACAGAAGTATTGGCAGCTTGCTGGAGGGAGTGAGGGAGCTATTCTGGAAGATCGAGCTGTTGTAGCTCGTCGTGGTCCCAGGGATCTGATCCTTCTTGAGGACTTGGATGAAGCTCGTTTACAGCAGCAAGGTCGAGTTGTAAGAGTTGATTCCCGCAACTCACAGTTGTCACAAGATCCAAGGCGGACATTTATCATACGGGACCAACGAGGCAATCCTCGAATTGCTGAATCACTTAGAGAGGGTGAGCATTATGTAATGGAAGACATTGAGAATACTCCTCGGAATATGCGTATGGATGATCCAAGAGCTATGCGCATGGATGACCCAAGAGCTATGCGCATGGATGACCCAAGAGCCATGCGCATGGATGACCCACGGGCAATGCGCATGGATGATCCCCGAGGAATGCGTATGGATGAACCAAGGAATGCACCCATGGAGGAGCTGCGTGGCCCTCCAGTACAGAATGCAAGCGTAGATGATGATGCAACTTATGCGCGCCAGGGAAACGAGCAGGACCTCCGACTAAACGCCAGCCCGCACGGCGCCGTGCTCAGCGATGACTGGAGCACGGGCCGTCCAAGTCGCCCGATAAGGCGGTCTGGCGTAGAGCCGGGGGGGATAATGTTAACTCAGGAGGAGATGCAGAGACGGGCACTCATGCACGAGGACGCGGGGGGCGGGGAGATCATGGGCAGACACGTGGAGGGGCAGTCAGTGGGCGTAACACCACGTTCAGACAGGGAGGGAAGGTACGAGGACGGGTTCGTTCAAACCTCAATGCGTTATCTGCACAACGGAAGTCCTCCCCAGGCAGACGTGCAGATACAAACAGAGGACTTAAACGGGGGAAGAGACGAGCACGTGGTGCCTCGATTGCGAATCAGGACTCCCATAGAGGAAGAAACCAACAGTTTGCTAGAGGCAGAAGGAATACGGTCCTCACGGAGAGAGCAACAGCGGGCCAGGCGCAATTCACAGGTCGAGGTGGAACCAGCGATACACGAAGACAATATCAGTCGACGGTCAATGAAGACTACTCAGCCAGCCAACACACTGTATCAACACACCAAAGCTTCAATACTTCGTTTCGAGACCAACAGGTCCAAAATGGACGAGGAAACACAGAAGAAGGAATCTACGATTTCCCGCCGCAACAGCATGAGTGGGACAGACGGTCGCCGGAGTTCCAGCGTGGAGAGCAGGAGCATGGATGGGAGACGTTCAGTCAGCCAGGCCAATCTCGATGGCAGGCGGTCCAACAGTCAGGCAGCTCTGGATGGGAGACACTCCCACAGTCAGGCTACCCAGGACATGGGTCGTGGAACCCAGGGAGACAGCCGAGCCAGCGTCGAGAGGCGTGGTTCACTCCCCAGCTTAGAGACAGAGCTAGAACGCAAGGCAGCCTGGCGATCGGTCAGTCGACGAGGATCTCTAGGCCCACACGATCTATTGGACGAACCCTTGCCAGCCGTAGATGGTAAGAGTAGTTACAATAGTGAGTATGATGAGGACTACTCCCCTGAAGACAATGAACACAGGAGTGGGAGCAGAAGACAAAGAAAAATATCACAGGCACGCTACATGGAGTGGTATGACAAAAAACAAGAAAGAAGCCGGAATTCAAAAGAAGGAGGAAAGAGATCAGTGGATGTTGAAGAATCAGATTACATTCATGATCCAGGTACTAGAGCAGTGGAGGGTAGGGACAGACGAAGGCATCACTCACAAGTGGGTGATAGTGCAATAGAAAATAGTAGCTTAAAGGTTGTTGAAACAAGGGAGGCTGCAGAAGGCTCTGAGACTCAGGGTTACATCACCTCAGAGATACCTACTGGTTCCAGTCAACCATTAAGAGTTCCAGCAATACCATCCCATTCTCAAGATCTTCCTGGTGATGCAAAGATTCAGGATGGTGAGGAAGAGCTCCGCACCATCATGGACAATGAAATCAACCTGGGAGTCACTCAAAGTTCTCAAATGTTTGATAGTGATGTTGACCTGGAAACAGTTGCAGCAGCGAGAGGACGAAGGAAAAGGAATCACTTGCTTGAAAAGAAGAGTATATTTACAATTGCTTATGATGATATGCAGACAGAACAGTTACGACCTGAATCAGCTGCAACAGAACCATGAACAAAATTTGGTTAGACTGACATTGTTTTAGTGCAAATATGAGGAACAGGACTAATCACTTATTGACCAATGATGATACATGATTAAGAGTCTTTTTAGCTTTGATATATGATACTCAGTAATCATGCTCTTTTCTAAATACAGTATTGGGAAAATTTTTTACAAAACTATTTCCAGGATGTGGTTGTAGGAACTGGACTTCGATCAAGAAGACGAAAAAAAAACGAGAGCTTGAAATGCATAATACAGGTCACAGTATATCTTAGGATCATACTTTGTGTTGCTGTATTTGTTGTTTCAAACACTGGTGTATGGTGAGAGGAAAAACTGTTTACTTAAATGTTTCACTTTATAATTGATTAGTAAGGAAAAATAGTGCACAAGACATATTCAGCATTATTGTATTTGTTAGACATTTTTGGTCTTTAAAATGCTCATTACCCTAAGTTGGGTTTTGTATATATATATATATATATATATATATATATATATATATATATATATATATATATATATATATATATATATATATATATATATATATATATATATATATATATATATATATATATAAATATAAATATACACACACACACACTTGTGGTCACTTTGCATGACTATATTACTTTGTGTTCATCTCTTATGGAAGGTGTGAATGAAACAAACTTTATGATATATAAAAAATACCTGGTAAAAGAATTATTTACAGTATTTTACTAATGTTACTTTTATATATTTGAATTGTTTTCTTTTTTTTGCTTGTTTAGCGAACTGTAAATTTTTTTATTTATTTATATTGACTTTACCGGTATATATAAAATACTACCTGTACCATATTAGTAAAAGGAGGCAATTGGTACAAAAGTTTTTATTGTCATAAATTATATACAACTGTATATATTAAGATCTGTACATGTTATTGTAAGCTACTGTAATTTGAATGAGCTGAATGCTTACACTTTAGATGAACACAACATTCCTAGCACTGGTTGTAAGGGAATTAAGTTAAAAGTAGTACTACAGTATTTTAAAATGGTATACTGTACATTCCATATTTTTATAGAAAGATTTGTTAGATTTGTCTGCATCTGTTAGTTTAACCTAACTACCCTAAAGACTTGTAGGAAAGTTGTTAATTTCATGAGACATAAAATACAAACAATAAAAAAAGTTAGAATTATAGAATTTCAGAAAAATATAATATTTTGATATTTGTGACATATTAAACGATATTGTGTCGGTCATCCATCCGTCTGGGGGTTATGTGAGTCGGCCAGCAGTGAGATCTGCAGGAGATATAACAGAGTTTATGGTGTTGAGACACACTATACTAAGTTCAGATTATCTTTGCGGATAAGCTCCACCTGATCCATGCAATTGATGGGCAATGGGGTGGAGAGTGCCTGGGACAGTAAGCAGTCGTTTTGGTGATCTCCAAATTGAATCCCTTTACCAGTGCATGCTGAATTGCTGTCCTGGAATGCTGCAGTCAAATGGATACAGTGCTTGCCTCCTTTTCCATGGGTCGGTTGTTCGATCCCTGGGCACTCCCAGTTCACCCAGCTGTAAATGGGTACCTAAGTTTACAACTTAGGGAAGTGAATGAGGTCAAGTGCAGTACCGGCCATGCTGCCTCTTTGTTTACCAAAGGCTTAGTATGCGGTGTACTGTATTCACATCTCTCTCTTTCTTTTTCAACATATTTCCCCTGCACTCACTTTCACAACATTATGGTACTTTACTTTTATCCTCTTCGCCACTGATCGGCTTGTTAGCCGCTTGGGCGATCGGTCACGTCTCTGATTACTTTTCCTCTTCATTTATCTTCTTCACCAAAAGATCGGCTCCCGAGCCGCCTGGGCGATCGGTCATGTCTCTGTCATGCACTGTTGGCAAATACTGGGCATGCACCGGCTCCTGAATGTACCTGAACTCCAGTGTTGGTCAAGTCTTGTCTTGAAAGAGCTCACACTCGGTGCCGTCACAACACTCTCTGGTAGATTGTTCCAAGAGTTTACAACCCTCACTCCGAAAAAGTTCGCCCTCACAGTTTTCTGGACTTGCGGCTTCTTCAATCTTGAGCTGTGACCCCTTGTGGGGCAAGCGTCCACCAGCTCCAAGTAAGGACACTTAACTGAGTAGTGCCCCCTGAGATGCTTATACATCTCAACTAGGTCCCCCCTTGCCGGTCTGTAGTATAAGCTAGGCAAGTTCAGGCGCTCCAATCTCTCAGGGTAGCTGAGGTGCCGAAGTGCAGGCACCAGTCTGGTGGCCCTCCTTTGAACATTTTCAACCAACTGGCAGTCCCTAGCATATCTTGGGGACTAGATGGGGTAACAGTACTCCAGATGGGGAAGCACTTCACTCCTGAAGATCGTTACGAGGGACGGAGCGTCTAGATATCTGAACGACCTTCTTATAAGACCCAATAATTTATTTGCCTGATTTACCTTCTTCTCGCAATGGCCCGAGAACTTCAGCTCATTGTCAGCATATACACCTAGGTCCTTCTCACACACAGTCTCAACTAGGGCAGTTTTTTCATCCCGTTGGGACATATGATACGCCTCCTTACCGTTGGTATGCCCCAGGTGCATCCTCTTACACTTCGTGACATTGAATCTCAGCAGCCATTTCTTCGACCATTCCTGGAGCCCACAGAGGTCCTTCTGTAGTTCTTCACAGTCTGCTTGGTTCTTAATTTCCCGAAATAACTTGGCGTCATCGGCAAACATTTGTATGGAGAAGTGTACAACGTCAGGCATGTCATTTAAGAAACAAACAAACAACAGTGGGCCCAATACACTGCCCTGTGGTACCTCACTTGTGACAGGTACAGATGACGATTTCGTGCCATTAATCACCACACACTGCTTGCGGTCATGTAGAAAGTCTATCCACGCTAGGACATTTCCCCGAATTCCGTAGCCTTCCAGTTTGATTTTCAACCTTCGTGGGATACACTGTCGAAAGCCTTGGCAAAATCTAGGTAAATATTGTCGATATTACCACCCCGTTCCAGAATATGTGTCCAAATATCCAATACTTTGAGCAATTGTGCTAAGCAGGAGCGCCCCGGCATAAAACCGTGTTGGCAATCTTTTACAAGGTTGTTTCGTATTAGATGTTCCATTGCGGCATCTCTGATAATACTCTTAAGTACTTTACATATTATGCTGGTCAGGCTTACCGGTCTACTTTATGACACCCTTTCGCTCACTCGCTCATTGATATACTTCCTATAGGTGTAGATTGCATAAATACATCGTATTACTGTATTCAATGAAAAAAACATGCATGGAAGCTCACTGTGAGAGGAAGAGTATCTTATCGCCAAGAGGTGGCTGTTCAACTAACTGCGCTACCTCCTTTGTTACTATTTTTTCTCCCATGATTGTAACTTTTATGAGGAAAAAATAATATTCACACTTTTTACTTACTTTTATCCTCTTCTCCACTGATCAACTCATTAGGGTGGTTGGTCATGTCTCGGTTTCACACTGTTGGCTAGTACTGGGCATACACTGGCTCCTGAATGTATCTGAACTTGCTGCAGTATTGGTCAAGTTTGAGCTTGAAAGTGCTCACACTTGGTGCCATCACAACACTCTCTAGCAGTTGTTCCAAGATTTCACAATTCTCACTAAGAAAAATTTTGCCCTCACAGTTTTCTGGTTGTATGTCTTCTTCAACCTTGGGCTGTGACCCCTTGTGGGGCAGGCTTCTGCCAGCTCCAAGTATTGACAGTTGACTGAGCTGTGCCCACTGATATGTTTGTACTGTTCACCTCAATTAGGTTACCCGTTGCCCATCTGTAGTATAAGCTAGGCAATTGCAGGCGCTCTAATCTCTGGATAACTGTGGTTCCAAAGTGCAGGCACCAGTCTGGTGGCCCTTCTTTGGACATTTTCTATCAACTGACAGTATCCTAGATGTCGTTATAATACTATAGTATTTTCATATTTGTGATAATGTATTGAGAAACAATTAATTATACCTACTTATTGGGTTCGACATTCAAATCCTGTTACCTTATGTAATAACTCACTATAGCCTAGTGATCAAGTCCGACCTGTAGCAACTCTACCACCTTCGCTGGCCCTCACACTCAACTTATCAATTCTCGAATAATTACTACCATCAACCATTTGTATTACAAAATTTTATAATAGATGGTCAACTGCTACACCCTTACTACTATAATTATTCTTCCTCTATTTGCATTGTGTAGGATATACATTTCCTCAAGTCTTATGACCTCACTATATTTTTTTCCCATGACTGTCCAAAAGTAATTTTCTGACATTTATAACTATTATAATTCCCAAATTTTCACTGCACTTTTTTTAAAGTGGTTTAACCTACAACAATATTATTGCAATTTTATCTCTTATAGAAATTTTAAATTTATATTGATGTAACAAATTGAGTGAAGTACTTGAGGTTTGGTTAAAAGTCCTAGGTGTATGTACTATACTACTGCTATAATAAATCTGAGGGTCTCACCTCTACAGTTGCCCTTTTCATCCTGAAATGAGATTTAAACTCGTGGTAAGTAGTGTATAGTGGGGGACGATTTGCTCTACATAGTTCTCCACCCTTGTTGGCTGCTCGTGTCTGGGGCCAAACTGTTCGTCTTCATTTCTCTGCAGCAGCTCATTTCAGCAGCTAAAGCTGGATCATTATCCATCAGTTCCTCAAATAGGATAGAGTGTGCTGCAACAAACCCAACTGAAGGTGCATGGTAAACCATTATTCCTGCAGGACACCATTAAGACCCACGCTGTGATAAGCATAACTGTAACAACCATCCAGTTTGTTTATTTAGTGCCCGATGACATCACAAACTTCAGTTCGCACCATAACGCGCTACGGTTTTCCTTAACGTACATAGAGTGCAACTGAATGCACCCCAGGTGACCATATTGACTGGATCTTTTGGGCACATCTTTATCATACCCCTGTACACTTTTCTTGTCCAATTATTATCAACGACTTCATGACAATTTTAGTGGTGCTTCGGCGTGCAGATTTATTGTAGATGATAGATGATAAAGTAAGGTTCATATTGAAATGAGTAAACAAACCTGAAGAAAAAATTATTGAAATAATACAGCGCTGTACATTGAACGAGTCAAAAAATCAAACCAAACAATTAACAGCAAGGGGGGAGGAGTTTATCCACCAAGACTATTTGAACTTGGTATAGCTGGTTGTTACTGCCATAGTCACCCTTATTGTCTCAAGCATATATATATATATATATATATATATATATATATATATATATATATATATATATATATATATATATATATATATATATATATATATATATATATATATATATATATATATATATATATATATATATATATATATATATATATATATATATATATATATATATATATATATATATATATATATATATATAT